GGGGGGGGCTACACCTGAAGGCTATCTCGCTTATTAGCTGGTCAAATTTTACCACATTTTATACAAAAAACAAGCATAGTAATAATAAAAAGTCTTTAAATATGCAATCAAATTTGAGAAAAAAGTTTTGTTTCCGTGGCTACTGCGGCCATATTGGATTGTATTGACATGTCTTACGTAATGAATACCGCGCTTATTTTTCACGGAAATAGATTGGTTTTGGGTTGTTGTTTTTGTTTGCGCTCATGTTAACAAACATTAGATGTACAAATTTGTCTGTTTAATTTTGCCTAAACAAATTTGAAGGTTTTTTTGTTTTTTTTCGAGAGGTGATATTCAAGTTTGAAACAAAAAACCGAGAAAATCCACACTCCAGACCCCACCAAGAACAATCTATTCCATATATCAAATATTCAACACACATACATCTTTAGTATTACATCTTTTTTCATTCTGTGGAAATTTCATGAAGATTGAATGAGAAATGGGGGAGTTATTTTAAAAGGTATATAGAATAACCGCGTTTTTGAGAAAACGGGCGATAAACAAACATAAAAAATTGACTTTATTAAGAGGAAATGGTGGTGACAAACATGCCCGGTATGGGGGGAAAATAAGGCTTTAGAGGGTTCTAATGCTATGAAATAGTTGTAGGACAGGATGAAGAAGCTAAATATTCCTATAACTCAAAATCCATAATTTTCGGCCGAATGGACTTTTGGGGTGAAGCCCCCTTCCCCCCCCCCCCCTCCTTTTTTTTTAATGTGTAAAAAAAAAATGAAGACCCTATTTATTCACAAAAATTACATAAGATAGTGACAAAGTGTTTTCGGTTAAATGAAGGGTAATACATGTATATCCATCCTCGACAAAGGAAAGCAGCTCTGTGAAAGATGCAGACGTCATTCCTGTACTTCAAGTTCTTTTTTGTCATCATTCTGAATTTTTTCAAAAATAGAGTAATAATCTCCGACGCCATGTCTGTTCAGATGAAAACGACTAGCCCACTTGCTTCTGGGTCGATTTCTTTTCCTCTCCCACCACCTTTCCCACAGCTCTAACACATCAGGATCTGTACCAAACATGTTTATTAGCAAGGATGGATTCAGATGTGATACAGACTTGACAACTGGACAGGGACACAGACCGGTCACTCACAGACGGGTCACTTACTCAACTCACGTGGCAGGAAAACGGAAGCTAGACCTCTGGACAATCGTAAGGGGAATGCACCCACAGAATTAACATAATTAACAATCAACAAGACCATTGATTGTTTACCTTTAAAACATTCATAAAGATTCATTACAGGATCCATTGTTCAACTGCAGGCACACAGCGGAGACGGGTGCGGAGAGAAACGGTGATCATTTCAACTCACGATTTGGCACAACGTACAGCTGGAACAACCGGCGAGTGGCGTCGGTGGCCTAGCGGTTAGGCTATCGGACTCGTTATCGTGAGATTACGGCTGTGGGGGTTCGAGCCTCAGCTCGGTCCGACTTTGTGTCCTTGGAAGAGGCACTTTACACGAATTTTCCACTTGGCTCGGTCCTTTTGCAATACCATTTCACCATTTTCATAACCGGCGTCTGTGTTGATAGGTGTAGACAAAGCAAAAGGGGCTCTCTGGTCGAGAGGTTAAGGTGTTCGCCTCTCATTTAATAGGTCCCGGATTCGAATCCGGATAGCGACGGAAAGTTTTCTTCTCTAAAATTGTCTCCTTTCACATCGTTTCCTGCTTTCTAACAATGTCCTATCGTCTGCTTTCGTCTTCACTTTCTGCCCCCACCCCCTCACTTCCTTTGCTCCCTCCTCTGGGCTCTTGACTTTTTCTGCAGCCTTCCTACTGCTACTCCTTGGTTCCTTACTTCTGTGTGTTTAGGCCAAACCCCTGATCTTATGGTAAGTAAGATCTAACACCTATCCTTCTTGGAAAAGGGCGAAAAATCTCGGCGGTCGCGTGTGCAAGTTGTGCACATCAAAGATCTCTTTGAGGTCCAAAATCGATACGAGTGGGCTTCGGACGCAACCCTGGCAAACTTCAAAATTTCCTACCAACTGAAAATGTTTGATGTGTCCCACGCACTCACGGGGCCGTATGCACATGTGAGCGCCGGAAAACACTCACCAAAACACAACAACAAAATAAATAAGACAGAACTAATACTAAAACTCTTTTTCGCTGCAGGTAAGAGACGTGGGTTCAATTCTTGTTCGTAGAAAGTATTTCCTTTCGTAGCTGTGTCTGTCTGCTGGGATGTTGGATCCCACTCAACCCAGGCAGGTCCAATTAAAGTAACTCGTTCCTGAAATGGTCTAAATTGTGTCAATAAGAAGGTGAAGCAGCCTCAGTAAACCAAAGCTGTAAGATGGAACGTCCCAGTTGTCAGGATTTGTCTATTTTCACTGTACAATTAAAAATCTGTACATTTTTCTTAAAAGACTCAAACAAATTAAAGTGACACATCACTTTATTTTTTTTAACAAACAAAGAGGGGGGGGGGGGTTAAACAAATGCAAGGGACGCGTCAGTTTATTTAAAATATAAACTAAAACAAATCAAAGATAACGTGACATATCATTTTATTCGAAAATAGTAACAATAAAAACTGATAAATAAAACAAATGAAAATGACTGATCACTTTTACTGATTGCCACGGGGAACTTACGTTCACACTAGCAAGGAAAATACCTATTACATGTGTAAATACATAATACATTTTATAACGTGTCATGATACACATTATCATTTCGATTTTCCGTTCCTCCTCCCTCTCCTCCTCCTCCCCCCTCTCCGCCTGCTCCTCTTCATCCTACTACTACTACTACTACTACTACTACTACTACTACTACTACTACTACTACTACTACTACTACTACTACTACTACTACTACTACTAC